AAGGTTGGAAATAGCGCTACAAATTAAGAGAGAAAGGCATTTTCCATGAGTTTTGCAAATAACCGCCGCAATAATTCAGCAGAAAAGATGATTTTACGAGAATGCAATCAATGATGTCCTAAATTTCAGAAGATAGTACCGTCGTTTGTTAAAAAAGCAACAAATTTGCCCTGAAAAATCCTGAAACACTGAAATCCTCTAAAATCCCCCGTTAATTTAAGAGTTTCATATTTTCAAGGGTACAATCGGATTCAACACCAAAACTTCATAAAGGCAGGATATTTCCACTAGTTTTGGTTCCTTCAATTCAGAAACAAATTTCAGAAAATGTTCCGGGAAAATTTGGAGGGACGTAGCTCCAGCCCAGGGGACTGTTGGAGGAGGGGAGGGAGAGGAAGGGGACACTGACTAATTCTTTTTTTAACCGATAAAAAATGCTCCTGCAGTCAAGCCGTTTGACCATGGGACATTCTCTTCACTATTTAGACAACATTTTGCAATTAGGAACTACAAATTCTGGCTCATCGGTGTAAACACTTATGTGTAACGGGGAACTAATGGAACGTACGTTCTTTCTAGATAAGCGGAAAATTGCAGTTCCTAATTTGCAAAATGTAGCCTATTTGTGCGAATCTCAAACCAAAGCTGATAACTTTGCGTCGAGCAGCGGAGACCCAATTTCTCGTAGAAATCTTGGAGCCTGCTTTGAGCTTTCCCACGAAGCGTGACTACAGCGCTGCCTTGGGAAGGTCGCAGAGGTAATCTTCCTAAGTTCACGGCGTGAAATTACATTCCTTGCAATCGGGTAGGCCTGGGCTCCCCTTGCGAATGCGAATTTACTCGGCCGTCTGTCGAGTGTTGCGTGCGTCATTCCGGGGGCTCACTCGGCGAAAAAGCAATGTTTTGGATGGCCTCCTTCCGGAAATCCTGAAAAGGAAACCGTCCCCAAGACACGGCCTGGTTGAACGTCTTCAGCCGGATTTCACCGGAATTCGGATCCGCTGTGCTCACGGCGAATGCTGTATGAGCATTCCGATGTCGTCAAAGTTTTCTCTATAAAGTTAGTTAGTTAATTTTATTTAACGACGATCAGCATCTAGGCTATTTACGTCGGGGACTAGGCAATTTTAAATTTGTAAATTTAATTTCTTGAAGAGTTTTAAAATTTCTGTTACTACCATTGGACTATCTGAACACAAAGGGTGCATATTAAGAGGGAGGGAACTTCGAATTTTGATACGTGTGGCATAGGTTTTAGGGCAAGAAAGTAAAATATGGTCGATTGTAAGGGGGGAGTGTTGACAAAGAGAGCATAAAGGAACTGGAGATTTTGAAATTAAATGAGAATGAGAGAAAAAAGTATGGCCGATTCGCAGTCTCGCAATTTGGACTTCGCAGGTGCGGTGTTTATTAAATTCATATTTTATAAAAATATATATAAAACGAATATAAATATAAATAAAATGTATGTAAAAAGGATGAACCATGACAAAAATTTACTTGAAAGAAGACCTAAGCCATATGATGGCACCTCCTTCAAAAAACACCGCACCTGCGAAGTCCAAATTGCAAGACTACAAATCGGCCGTACTTTTTTCTCGCATTCTCATTTAATTTCAAAACCTCTAGCTCCATTCTGCTCTCTATGTCGACATCTCCCCCTTACAATCGACCATATTTTCCTTTCTTGCCCATGAACCTATGCAACACGCATCAAAATTCAAAATTCCGTCCCTCGTAACATCCACCCTTTAAGCTCAGATGATCCAATAGTAGTCATCGAAATTTTAAAATTCTTTAAACAATTAAATTTAAAAGTTTAAGGTTTCCTGGTCCCTGACGTAAAAAGCCTGGTTGCTGATCGTCGTAAATTAAGTAAATAACTAACTAACGAATACAAGAGAATGGCAAATATATTTAATTTTTAGACATTTTATGCAAATGTTTCCTTTAAATTTTTAAAAATCCGATAGAACCAGTGAATCCTGGATTACTCGCTAAGGCCACTGGATTTCCCTACAGACATTTTGACAATTCATATTAAATAGAGTTCCTATATGGGGAGAGTGCGGACCAGAGACAAGAAACCCCCCCACTGGCCTCTTGGCGACAGGTGGAAGCTTTTACTTTCGGGTACTCAACAATTCCTCATGGAAAATTATAATAAGGGAGCAACAGTCACCACTCTTACTTCGGCCGTTGACCTACCTACATGGTGGATGATGAGGTTCGGGTGACGTCATGAGCCAAACAAGTTCCCCAAACTTTGGCTTGCTTGCAAAACAAAACTGCTAACTCGTTCTCAACCATCAACCAGGTAGGTACGTCAACAATAGAATGATGAGGTCCCGAAAGTAAAAGCTTCCACCATTGCCAAGATACTAGTGGAGGGTCTCTTGTCTCTGGGGTGCGGACAAGTCGGTAATTTTGAAGATAGGTCATGGAGCTTTCAGGGCCCAAAAGAGCAGCCAACCTATGAACTCAAATTATCCAGAATGATTTTATATTACTATTGTTACGACCCGTCGTTTTGTCATTGAACGTTGTGAGTCAAGTAAACTTTGAACGTCCAAACACAAAAAAAGAAATTCTTTCTCACGAATGAGTTGAATTCATAAATATTCTGTCCACCATATTCAACTGTTACCGCTTTATTGCAAAATTTTACACGGGGTTGCTTCATATTCAACCCTGCCTTAAATTACCGATATGCCTCAAGATAGGTCCGTAACTGCCAAAAATATTGTACCGATCGTGGAATATTGTTTTTATTAATAATTAATCTTATCATTATGATTGTTTTCCGTTTGTTCTTTTTAATATTTCCAAGAGTTTCTTTGACAAAGCATCTTAATTACATTTCAGGATTCATTCACCGAAGCTTCCTGATAAACACTCTGGACATTAAAGGCCTCCACAAATATAATTTAATGACAATATGAATCTTGCGTTTCTCTATGAGAGAAAAGAAGTGTAAAAACGACTTTTCGAATACATATATGTGAGAAAAATGAGGATTAGAGTTCAAGAATAGATCGTTCTAGGTACAGATGCGTCATCAGGGAAATACGCTCCGTTCTCAAGGGGCACGATTTACGCACATCATTTCAAACACTTAACACAGAGTTCCTCAAAATACCTATTGCACTTAAAAGCTCAAACCGAATCCACGTATAAGTTTTTTGTCACTACGGACGATTCGAATTCGAAAAATCGATACCCTTCCCTGTGATGACGAAGAGAAATAAAAAGCTGACTTTTTTAAGTGTTGAAATGCGTCATCGGCAGATGAGTAGTTGTCGAGATTCATTAATGCAACCGTAGAATTTTCATCGAATTTTTTGTTCTCGAAATTGATTTTGAATCTTTTTTCATTTTTCCTCTCCGACTCTGGTGCTTCTCTGATACATTTTCATGCGCTGCTTACTTTACTTTTTTACCTCATATGCTGTTTGATTACGAGGAAAAATTTGAGATAAACTCACTTTTTTCCTCCTTTACGGTCACGTAAAATGTGTGAGCGAGAAAGGAGATGTTTCAAAAACGTGTGCAATATTGAATAATTTTTCGTCCTTTCAAATGTTAAAACCCTAAAATTGAAATTTTCAAATCAAACATACATTTTGTACATGGAAGGTTTCTACAATAACGTTCAAACGGAATGTTTTTTAAAGACTATGATCTGAAATTTTCAACTTTATTTTCTTCCCAAATTTTTTACAGTTTTAGGCATGGCATAAAGCCATAAAGCTTGATTTTTCTCTCTTTCCTAGGTACTTTAAATTTTATATTAGTCTTTTATAAGCCCAAAATATATTGAAGTGAAAATGTTTGTATTCAACCGTTATTTGAAACATAACTAATGCAGGAGATAAGGTGAAATGGATCATCGGAAAAAGATAATAAAGGAAATGTATAGTAAAAGAAAGAAGAATATAAAGACAAATAATAAGAAGATAAAGAAGAAAATAGAGAAAAATGATGAGAGGAGAGAGAGAGGAGAGAAAAAGGACAAGAAAAAGAGGGAACGTAAGATGGAATAATACATATAATATACAGGGAAAACAGGAAATGAGAAGGAAGAAGAAGAAGCAGATCAACAAAAAGAAGATAAGAAATGAAGGAGGATAAAAAGACGAGGAATAAGAAAAGGAGAAATTCTTCTTCACGTATTTCTCCCTCCGTCTCTTTTCTATTTTTCCTCTTCTTGTCTCTCTTCTCCTCCACCTCTTCATTTTTATCTCCCGATTTGAAAGACGGAGATTCAGGTTAACTCCCCGGCGATACAACGGCCGCAATGCCGATGGCAACACAAACGCCTGGATGCAACTATTCGTGTTCTGTGGATGTCCGTATTGCATAACCAAACATTTGAAGGCGCTTTGAGTTCTTAGCGCCAGAACGACATCGACGAGAGACCTGCCTCTCTGGTGTGTTCACAGCAATCCCTAACAGCAGATACAATCGTTCTAGCTTTTAAAGAAACTAACTATCGGTTATAGCTCTTATTTTTCTACCCCATTTCTTTTTATTTTCCTTGCTGTTGTCCTCTACTGCTGCTTCCTTATCTTCTGATTCCTAGTGCGTCATCATTGTACATGCGTAAGGGTCGCGAAACTCAAGTCTGTACACCTAGGGTAACGTGCCGCGTCGCATTAATCAGAGGTATTTGTCGTCGAGCGACACTCAGTGGAACGAAGTAATGAAAGATGTCGGATACAAAATTCTGGACAAAAAACTCCTAATTTTGAAGTTTATTTTGTCAGATTTAAAGATGGGGTACTTATGGAAGAAAATTTTACGAGGAAAGTAATTGAATCATTATTAAAACCTCACCGTTTTGCATTTACGAAGTTATAAGCATTTAAAGTTTCTACATCATGTTCGGCCTATTCCATTCCCTCGATCCCCTGTGCGACATTACGACACATTCGACATTCACGGTGAAACTTTGACTCGGGGATGACGGTCGCAAAAAAAGCAAAAAATCCTTTTTCGTGCGTTTGAAAAATGCGATGCAAGGTCGAGCCTTTCCAGCAGTAGACGTTCCGTCGTGATGACGATGAAAGCTGCGTTCGTAGCCGGGCTGCTTGCTTTGATTCTCCAGGTGCGTACTTTTAATATCAATTCTTTGATGTGTTAGCATGCCTTAGAGAGATTTATAGTAAAAATGCATTGAATTCAAATTTAAATGGACGTTGAAATTTTTAAACAAGATACACAACTCATCGGAATCTGAATATAGCCGGAAAATTGACTGGTCGTCGGATGCATAAAACTGATATAACACGGATAAAAACTTTTTTTTCCTCTCGAGTGTATATTATTTTAGCAATCATAATAAGGAATCATACTTCTAAGATTTTGATAAAAACCTAGGGGATTCCATTTATATTTATGAATTGAAGCTGAAAGATTTTACGTCTAACCTCAAAAAAAAAGCGCACAATTTTCTCTTACTATCCTCTTGTTGCAAAAAAAGAGTAGGCAATGTGTCACGTTTGCTTAGAATCATTTCCAACGGTAAAGCATGCAATGCCATTCCCTAGACAAAAAACGTAATTAAATTTCAACTCAAAGAAGTTCTTTCTTGTCAACTGCATTTTTACCGAGAATTTTGTAGGCCTTTCTCACTGGAGATTTCACCAATTAGGCTGATAACAGGAGGAAACAAGCAAAATTTTAAACAGAAAGTGCACAGTCGTATTGTTGTAATATGAGCTGTTTGAGTCGAATTTGCAACTTTGGAATGGAGTTACTTTCCTTCGTCCAGAAAACTACGATAGTATATAAATGCAACAATTTTAAAAAAAAAAACCCAAACGGCGGTTTTTGCTGTCAAACGCAAATTGCATCGTAAACCTTCGTTTATTTCTTTTAATTTTAGCTAATGTGGTGAGCTATAGCTTATATTAGATACTTTGGAGCCAAAGAATATTACGTACTAATTTGCCGTGCTAAGGAAGAACACCGTATGAGCCAAATTCCCTTCAATAAAATATGAATTTTCAGGAAAATTTCAAGAAGGAAATATTCATAACCCTCTTCGAAAATAAACATTTTACCGAAGGAAATTTGGCCACTCTCGAAGATTCATACGGCGTTTTTCCTTAGAACGGCAGTATTGAAACAACGATACGTAAATTTTAATTAATTTTTTTTACCAAACATTCAATAGTTGTTTTATTTATTTCAATTTTCTCCAGTTGGCAGAATTTCGTGATACCGATGTTACGGGTTCCCCGACCACGATACGGATGAGCAGCAGCCCGGTGAAAAGTGAGCATCTGAAGGTTAAAATGGAGAAAGTCGTGAAGGAGGTCACTGCCTCGGATCTGAAGCCACTTATTGCCGCATACAGGGCCTTCCAAACTGCAGGGAGCTGTAAGTTGAATCCCCCGTTTCAATCAATGTTGCGATTTTTTCTGTCGAGAGTCACGTATTTTGCGTGTTACTAATAAATTGATAAAAGAAAATTTTTGTTTTTACACGCTTATAGTTTTATTTGTTGTTTTGTGTACGTGCATTTCGGGCTACAGCCTACAAGTCCATCCTCAGCACTGTTTTGCAAATTTTACTGCAACACATACGCAGTCCAAAATGCACATATATACTGAACAAAAAAAAACCACAAGCATGTAAAGGCAAGACTTCATTAATTCCTCCTACCTGCCATATTACCAAGAGTGGTGGGCGAGAGTTCCATTGATGCTTTACTGTACCATTTAATAGCGGTTTAAAGGTAACCTTCGCGAAAATAAACGAATTTGCTTATTCGGAGACAAAAAGAGACCCACGAATGAATTGGCAATAATGAAGTTTTTGCGTTCCTTGCCTGCCGGTTTAGAGTTGAGAAGCAAACCGGGGCACTGGTCTTTTGCACACGTCATTCATGGGTTACGTCAGCAACACATAACGGAAGATATACGTGACGTGATCAGACCTTCTTTTTTTACTTATTTTTCGAAGCTTAGCGAGATCTCATTGGCAGCATGTAGCGGCAGCATATTTCGAGTTCACGCCTCGCCGTATAGCGTGCCTTCAATTTTGCAGATGCAACACACACATCCATCAAGCGCGAATAGTTGTATCTCAATGCCGTCATCAAAACGTGTCATTCCTTTTGCTCAATGTTCATGATGTGTTGTTTCTGTTTGTAAAACTAGTTATAGTAGGCCGATTATTGATATTATGCATATTTGTCTGGTGGACAAGATAGCCTAAAATAGTTGAAGCTATGATCGGTCGCTTATGTCGATCTGACGATAGAGAACTCTTTCGTGAGCCCTTCATCACGTCGAATAATCGACCGATTGTTAACCAGTGAGGAGATTTTTTCGTTAGTCGATCCCTTGGCTTGATGAAGTGCTTTCAAAAGCTTTTTCTGTCGTCAGATCAAGACAGGCAACCAATCATATGGCTTTATTCTACCTCAGCATATCTTGTCCACCATATCAACATATAATATGTATAATAAACAGTATACATTTTTTACCGAAGTAAATGAACAATAAACGTTAATTTGGGAATATATAAAATTTATGACTAGACCGCGTTAAACAGAAAGGAACCAAGTAACATCAGCTGTTGCCAAATTTAACCTGGCAATTTAATATTTTGAATGAAAACGGTTGTGCAGATTTTAATGCAAATTTTAGTGAATTTTCTCCATAATGCGAAGCAAATTTCTTGAAATTTTCAAACGATTCCGCACAAACGTTCTCTCGTAAACAATTAAATTGCCCACTTAAATTTTGCAATAGCTGATGTGGCTTGGTTCCTTTCTGTTAAACGCGGTCCAATTATTCATATGATAAAAATATCCACAGTCTTTTTACATCTATGACTTCCAGAAGTTTATGTTGAATCTCAAAGTGCAAGGATAGATAATTTTATCCTCAGTTTTGCGTAAATTCTGCTAATACGTTGCGTTTGATTATTTATAATAGTGAAAAAATCGCTGGAGAACTACCGGAAACAGATAGAGGAGGATTTCACAAACACGCGCGACAAAATGATGGCCCGGATCTGCGCGGAGACTCAGGGGTTCAAGGAAAAGTTGAAGTCGACCATCAGCCTGGCCAAGAAAATAGGACCATCGGCTCGACGCGCGTCTTTCCTTGACATCATCACCCAGGCCAGCGGTGACGCCGAGGATGGCATCCAGTTCATCGAGGGAATGGTCCGCCACCTGGCACTCAGTGACTCCATCGACAAGGTGCGAATTCGAAATTATTCTGCTTATTGCAGCGCTAGGGGGTTTCAGCGGAGATGCTTGCAATTCGCACTCGTTCCGGCCCGCAGGGTGAGAGTGAGGAACGGAAAACTGGTGAGTGAAACGTGGTACCATGCAGTGGCGATTTTGCAAGTTGGCAAAACTGTTATTCCTCTATTTGAGGTGATTCGACGGCTGTCATTTTTTGTGTCAGAGCGACGTGCGATATATCGCATCAAGTTGTTCCATAATTTCAGCTACCTGTCATTTTTTCCGAATTTAGAGATCGCACTTCTGTTATCGTGAGACTAATGAATTCGTGTACCAAATTTGACAAAGAAATTCAACGTAATAAAGGCAGGGCTTTTTAGAGGAAAAATGTCGCGTTCGATACTGATATCGAAACTGCACTCGAATGCGATATTTTTCCTCTGAAAAACCCTGCCTTCAATGCGTTGAATTTGTTAGCAAGTAAGCTAAATGGAGCCCTTAGGACCCAAAAATGGCGGACGCCATAAAGTTAATGTAATGCAAAATGATTCAAAATGTAGTTGTATTTGCTAATCGTAATGAGAACTTTACCCAAATGCACTATTGCGACTTTTTTACATATTTTTAAGGCTAATCGTGTGCAATTTTTGAGAAAAATGATCTTAGATGTAGTAAGGTTGGCAGCAAGTGGGGTTGGTGATAACCGTCAAAAGTTGGCAATGACCCCCCTCCCATCCTCAAAAACCAAAACAAAGCACCGCCATTTTTGGGTCCTAAGCCTCTCCATGGGACCCAGTGGCCATACTCTCTTAATATAGGTACTCTAACTCCAATTCTCCGGCCCATTTCAGTTGATAATATTTGCAATTGGTGTAATGTAATCTTTATTCCCGTTTGTGCCACTATGAAGACGTAAAATACGGGAACCAATCAGAAATGGATTCGCATTGTCTTTTCTCTCATTACAAAGGGACTATATTTAAATTCATTAATAAAATAACATTATTGCGTGACTCGAGCTGCTCCACCAAGAATCGATTGTTTTACATACATTTAAATGGAGGGAAACAGTGTTGCCAACTTTCAAGAATCACTGGTGCCACTGGTGAACTTGTGGTGAACTGGTGGTGATGGTGGTGATGGTAGAGTTCACTGGTGCCATGTCAATACTAACATGATGCTGACGTGTTATCGATGTGACACCACGGTGAGATTAGGATGTTATTACGGTCTCTTGGATGAATTTGATAACGTGTTGAAATGAGCAGGTCACCACAATGGTAACATACCTCTTTCGTGGTGGTATATTTGACAAAGTCGATTCGATGCTGTCACTATGTTTACAGAGTATTGACACCAACACGGTCTGAAATAGGCAATGTTGGTAACAATGTGATCATGATATGTTACTAACATGGTCGTCTACAGAGAATTCATTTTTGAGAGGAACTAAACCTAGTAAAGACCTGAACATAAAGTAAACTGCTCACAATGTATTTCCCAAGGCAGTAAAGAGAATTCCCATCGAAATGTTAAATCCGACTTTTTGACTCTACTCAACGACAAGAGAAGCCCAAGTGAAAATTTTATCTTTGTGAACTAGAGTCTCTTTTACCGTTGCAGCTATCACATGTGCCCTTGGGACATCCAAAAATTGCAATGAGATTAGCGTAAAATTCAGGAGTTGAAATTCCTTGATTTTTCTTTAGGATTTTTCAAGGTTTTACCTGAAATTACCTGAATTTTGAAAAAAAACATGAGGCGATAGATAAAATTTCAAGGTTTTCCAATACGGCAGGGAGACAAGCTGAAGTTATTCCTGACGCAATACGGATAAAATAACCACTTATAGTCGAGCTCCTCCTAATTTATGTTATTTTGTCTATAATCCCTCGACTGTTCTCGGTTTCCCCTGACCCACTTTATTTTTACGTAATACGTTCACGTTTACGTTACGTTTTACGTTTTTTACGTAGCTACAGTCATCCTCTTCTAACCCAACTTCACCTTTTACGGTGTTGATTCCAGGTAACGGTAGACAGCTCTGGCGAGGACGGGAAGCGAGAATACGCGATAAACTTCGACGACTTGAGGAGTTTCGCTTTCAAGAAAATGCAACTGTACGCGGATGAACTACAGATAGATTCGCAATCGATCAGCCGAATCATTAACTTCCTCCTGAAATGCATTAAAGAGGGCATGACCGCTTTGGAGAGCGTCGAATTTGAGCTGAGGACCAACCACCGGTACCCCAAGGACATGGACAAAAAAGAGAAGAAGATGAGGAGAGCTTTGGGTGTTGGCAATTTGTACCGTGAGGAGTGTGCGGTTACTGAATAGCGGTCCGAATGGACTGAGTTAAACAGAAAGGTATCAAGTCACATTTTGGAAAAAAATGAGTTGTAAGTGTAATTGAATGGCCTATTTCGAGAACACCCAGACTCGGAAAAAAATTCTTATGATCTATATTATAATATTGCAAAGAAATCGTTTTTTGGGTCACGACATTTCTTATCCCCGTTCATCTCATAAAAAGATTGTTTTTTTTCTTTTCTTTTCTTTTTTTCTTCCACGTCGTGAAGAACGGCACAAATTCCATTTGTTTCATAAGAAGCTGACTTAAAGGTTTCAAAACATTCATATTGGACCAAAAAATGACCGAAATTTTTCATGTTTTCAGCAACAGAGCTCTTTGACTAAATTCAATTCTTTCGTTTTCTTGATTGTTATTTTCAAAATAAAGCACTATTTGAAATAAGCTACCTATCAAAAACTAGTCATGCATTGTCGCATCAAAATTTCTAAGTTGAGAAAAATATTTTGAATGTGAAAATAAGCGTCTTTCATCCCTGACATTGAGCCTTATTGAAGAATAAAACCCTAAACCTTCTATTCTCAAGTAAATCTTGATGTGACTCGGCTCTTCTCTGTTTAACTCTGTCCAAGTAAAGAGAAGCAAATCAGTTAGACGTCCAAACAACTGAGGAGATAGCATATTTAGATACATCCAGACATTAATTCTGTGCTTTCTGCGCTACCTGCAAAATTGTGCGAGTCTTCATGGCGTTGCGTACAATTTTCAAGGACATATTATTTGGCATTTGTGACAGTCCTCGGGGAATGGAATCTTAATTAAAAAAATTCAGAATTGAGATATCGAAAGTAGGCTTCAGAGGAGGGCCCAATGTATTTTTGTCAAAATAATACCCAACGATTTTAAACCAAATCGGAGGTTTGGTGGTTCAAAGTTTGCAGTTCAAAATATAGTCTAGTCTTGCGATTCCTAAAGGACCTCATTATGATAGAATAGATTTGTTTTAATTGGGAGATAATCTCGAATGTGCTCTAAGATTAAGTTGCCACGTTAAAGATTCACTGTGATATCATTTTTTTTAAGAAACACGCTGGAGGACTTGGACTGGATCATTTACCACGTTTGTTCACAATACGTGCTCCGATAAAAAAGAACAAATTGTAAGTTCCAATATAAGTTATAAGTAATCTTTGGAAAAAAGAAAAAAAATATGACTAATATTTGTTAATACTTTAATTCTAAATCATGTAATTATATTCATATATTCACCGTGTCAGGTATCTGCGAAAGATAAACTCATTTTAGTGTAGTTTTTATGCAGTTTCCTTTTCTTTTATTGAAGCATTTTGTTTAAATTGATTTATAATGTAAAAAAATAAAAATTCCATTGAAAATAAAGTAGAAAGAATATAAACCTGATAACAAGGAGAATTTTTCTAAATCGAATCGTGTATTTCAATCCCCAAAAATTGAATAAAAGGTGAAAAAATGTAAAGCTATCAAATGCTGCGCAGTGCATTTTTTTTTTCAATTTTACCAAGAGATTTTCGAAATTTCACAGGCAAATTACGTCGGCTAGAATATTGACAAGAGTTATGACTTCAACGGACTTTGACGTCAAAATTGTTGAAATGTGCTTCAAATTTTAAACTCAGTTCGTTAACAAATACTGTTTCGACCAAAAGTCTTGAACCCCTCTCTTTTGCGTGAAAACATACGGAAATGCATAGGAGGCAACTAAAAATCAACTTTATGTATTAATTTGATTTTCCTTAAAGGAAAAGAAAAATCGCAATTTTGGGAGATCTAAAGAATTTTGGCCGAGAGGGACGGATGTCCGAGTACGCGTTGCAAGGGATTGAGAGTGAGAACACACGCAGTAAAAATACTGTATAGTGATTACTCTTACTGTCGATCTCTGTATGATCATCGGTAAACACAGTAAGTTTATTGCTATGACCGAAGTAAGTTTGTCGTTCACCGCTGTCGTGCCCTACGATTTTGAATATCGCGACTAGCGGCACGCCAGTTTAATCGCTAATCGCAATGATGTCTAGTTGAGGGTAAAGTGTCTTATGACTGCCGGAAAAGCTACTAAATAACAGGGCCGGATCTACGTTTCACGTAGGGGGGTGCAAACCCAGATTTTGGCGCCCCCCACGCCGGGGGGTCTGGGGGGTATGGAATACCCCCCAGGAAGGCGGGGGGTTCGGGGGTCCCCCCTCGGAAAAATTTTTAAAATTACAGCGTACCAGAAGGCCGTTTTCCGTAGTTTTCAGCGAAAAATTTATTTTTTTAAGTTTGATTTTTGAGGTCTCAAAGAGCGGTGTACGCGCATGTAAAAATACTTGAAGTCGCATTTCTCAATACATTCTTTATGTGTGCTTTCTATAAAGCACTGACAGATACGTACTTACACTTCACATTTTATGAATNTGAGGGGAAAGGTTAAATTAGTGAGGCACAAAAGTATGAGACAGTTGGGGAAAATTCCTATTTTTACAAGATCGCACTTGATCAACAATTTAAACCATTAGCAATCAGCAACTACGGTTGAAAAATGTGTAGTAGTAGCCGGTGGAAAAGTTAACTTTACACAGAACGGTAAATCTATCACGGGTATGGTGTGATTATCATACACACGCAGTAAAAATACTGTATAATTACTCTTACTGTCGATCTCTGTATGATCATCGGTAATCACAGTAAGTTTATTGCTATGACCGAAGTAAGTTTGTCGTTCACCGCTGTCGTGCCCTACGATTTTGAATATCGCGACTAGCGGTACGCCAGTTTAATCGCTAATCGCAATGATGTCTAGTTGAAGGTAAAGTGTCTTATGACTGCCGGAAAAGCTACTAAATAAGGTCGTTAACGCGCTATACAAATATGGACCGAACATTTACTCCGCGTAATAAGGAAGGTGGGTACAATAGTTAAACAAGGACACGTGTATACTTGTTTGCTTTAGTTTTGGCCACGATTATTCCGTTCAGTGTATGCACCATGCTGGCCATATCCCTTACATGTGAGGTAACTAGCAAGCGTGTACATTCAAACGTCCATTCTTCTCTTGTATTAAATCATAAGGAACATACTGATGAGGGACTCTCAGGAGGAGAAAATAGTTATCGTGAAAAATATTAACTGACGATGGAAACATGCACTACGCGGAGAAAATTATTCAATCGGTGATATTCTGGATGATGATCGGCGATGAGACATCCGTTTCCGTTTCACTTCAAGTCATTGAAGAGGTAAGAGCTTTTCTGATGTAAATAAAAACGTGTGTCAGCTTGAACTGACGCTATAATAACTATTTACAAACCGCACGTCAGTTTCAAGGATGTATTGAATTGAAATGGAAAACTTGCCAGGACATGAAGGCTCGTACGGCTTGGTTCCTTAATACGGCAAAAAAATACTGTGGTTTTTTCGTTTGAGATTTCGCTGGCCGAGAAGCGCACTGAAAAAAAATTATCGGCGTTTTTACCAAGGTCCGTTGGTACCTTTACCATCTCACTTTTTTACCAATTATTGGTAGTTATACCAAGACAGGCTGGTAAGCTTACCTATAAACCGGCATTTTTACTTTTTTTTAAGGTAAGAATACCACTTTTATTGGTAATCAATTCCCGGTAACTCTGCCATTTTATCTCGGTATTTCTACACAGTCGATACAAAATATTGACGTTTTTACCAAGGTCCAGTAAAATTAGCGAGAAAGTTCAATAATTTTACCTAGATTTCTCGGTAAAATTACCAATTCCATAAATGGTAATTTTACCAAGGAAAAACTGGGATGAAATAGAACCCTGAATTCTTGGTAATTTTACGCTTTTCTTAGTAAATACACCGATATTTTTTTTTCAGTGCGGACTTTTGGGGGCGTAATGGCCAGGGGGCGGACCCCCTATTTATATATAATCAGATACGTCACTGTTTAAAATATGATTTTGATCTATTTCTCAGATGAGGACCGGCAGGGTGATAGAGGGATAAGTACAGGCGTCCGATTGTTCAGACGAAGAGGAGGTGGAGGTGCAGTGGCCTCCATCGGCGGAGGGTCGCAGGCGGGTCACGGCTCGCAGATGGTGGGGGGGTCCACCGCAGCACCACCGCCAGCACCACCGCCGACGCCGCCACCACCCCCACCTCCCCCCTCGCCACCGGCAGCTCCGCCCTCGACGGAACCCCCACCTCCCGCTCCTCCAGGTGAGAAAGTCCTCTGTTCAAATGGGCCAGTTAAGCTCGTCACAGAATCGTGTTTTGATGCTTTATTCTTACAAATCAATTAAACATAATAAGATCTGTCCCAACAGCAGCTTTCTACGTTGAATATTAACCTAGATATCGTGCCTTGAAAAACTCGATTTATGACGTCGTCCACCGCCGTAGCACATTTAGATTGCATTTTGCAAGAAGGAACTAGAAGAATTGCGATGATGCTAAGATTCTGCATTTTTATCCTTTGCAATAAAATTACCAAAACCATGGAAAATATGAAATTTGCATTGTAATTTCGTCTTAAATTTACAGTTTTTAGCGAGTAAAATAGATACTGTTCGGGGATAATCAGGTTTTTCTTTCGAGACAAAAGAAGTTGGACAATCTTGGCAACATTGCAATGCTTCTGGTTCCTTTTTGCAAAACGCAATTCATTTCATGTTATGTTTTACCGCAATGGATGACGTCAAAAACCCGACTTTTCAAAGGACGATATCTCGGTTAATATTCAACGTAGAAAGTTGCTGTTCAGACATGTCTCCTTATTTTTAGGTAATCTGCAAGAGTAAAGTATCAAAACACAATTCTGTTACCAGCGCAACTGGCCTATTAGGCTCTCGAATTATTTCATCCAGGTGATAAGCACTTTTCAAACAGAAAAATCAAAGGGGAAAAAAAGATAAGAATAAAGTATAAATATTTCAGATGAGGAAATGTTACGTCAAAGTTTGCAAAACTGAACTCCACCGATGTGAATGAGCCAAGATTGTGCAGTTCATAAGACTGTGCAGTTCTTTGGTTGCAATTTGAAGAGCAGCTGGCGAAGTCTTTGGTGAGAAACACCCTCGATTTCCCACGAAGAAAATATTTTGCAATGTTGGGGCGTCGTTACGCATTGATGGATTCCATGATTTCCACGGCCAAAATTTTATAATTTTTGAGTATCGAAAATTTTCAGAAAACAAGTTTTCCATGATTCGTCTATGATTTCCGAAATTAGAAAGTAAAACATTCAGAAAATGAAAACGGGAATAAAAGTGGTAAACTGAATTTCTCCCCGAAAAATTTCATGATGAACCAATAATTCGCGAAACCCACTATGTTTTTCCAGGAATTCCCTGATGCCGAAAAATTGCCTAATAGTGTCTTGCATACATTTCTGGTAGTGGGGGCCGTGCAGTCACGTTAGCTAGAAAGGGGTACACTGAAACCCTCCTGGCGAGGGCAAGGCAATTCTTTCAATACTGGGTATGCCTATAGACGGATTTAGTATGACTTCGTCATCCGATAGAATGTAGGACTCTTGGCTCAAACCAAAACAAATTACCATAACCTCATGTACGAATTCTTCATGAGTTAATTGCGCTAATTTATTAAAATTTAGTCATTTACCAGTCATAAATCAGTTAAAGACTCATTAAACAAGAGAAAGGATGTGTCCCATTAAGGAGGGTGTTCATCCCAAAATTTGGTCGCAAATTGAAACAGCTTAGAACAATGGCATGTATGGTCAAACTTACTCTTAATCATCTACCCTGTGAGAACTTCCCTGGTAAAAATTGGCGATTAAAGCTGCGTTTCACAATACTATAGGAGTTCTTGTAGCTGACTGAAGAGGGCCGTAGAAAATCATATAGCTGGCTGTAGAAAGTGGAAAAAATCGTACGGCCGGGCTACACGAAGCGATAAAAAATTATACAGCCGGGCTATAGTTCCTATCGCCGGGTTTTACACTTTATCGCCTGGCTGTTGCTTTTTCGCCATCGGCTATAAAAGGCTATAAGAAATTGAGTAGAAATTCTTGTGCTTTGTAAATCCTTAAGTTTGTACGGAATCACCGTACATTTACAAAACGCACATTATATTTTCCTTTACTACATATTTTTTTTCATCAATTAAAATGAGAATAATCCATACAGAGCGTGCAAACATTTCAAAATCATAAGTTGAAAAACGCTGACTCCGCGAGATTAAATATTAGAGCCTAACACAAAGCGGAGCGGCGGCGCACCGGCGCCTACAAACCTAACAGGGATACTTCACGCATTGCGCAATGCGTGGAGTATCCCTGTTAGGTTTGCAGGCGCCAATGCGCGTTCAGCGCTGGCTGCCCGCCCGCCGCGCGCCGCGCCGCAGCGTACCGCGGCGCTTGAAGCAACTATTTCACAACAGAGGTATTGTACAGTATCATATGAAATTTAAGGCGCTCCAACATATTAGGAATGTCAGGCATCCTTCAAAAGAACGGCTCTTTCCTTTCAAATTAGATCAAGATACTGCGACCCAAAAAGAGAGCGGTAGTCCGAAAACTCACTAAGTCCTAGCATCCGTAATTAGTAACGTTTAGCATACACTTTATCGCCAGGCTGTTGCTTAGTCGCCATCGGCTATACAAGGCTATAAGAAATTGTGTTGCCGGCTATAGAAGCTATTGGAAATCTTACAGCCGGCTGTAGGTCTATGGTATTTTGGAACACAGATTCTACTGCCAATTTTTACCAGGGTTGTCCTTATTTGAGTTGTTTTTGAAAGGTTTTTGTCTGATTTACCATCGTACAGTAGTGAAGTTTTGCAATTTTCTCGAATAATCGCTCATTTTCGGTCTTAAATTAGATTGTTTATGTATGAGCGCAAGCGACTGCCACGTTCATATTCGAATATGTTAATCTTTAGTACACCCATTACAACATATTTAAAGGAGAAAGTGGTAGNAGAACAAACAGAAAAATCAAAGGGGAAAAAAAGATAAGAATAAAATATAAATATTTCAGATGAGGAAATGTTACGTCAAAGTTTGCAAAACTGAACTCCACCGATGTGAATTAGCCAAGATTGTGCAGTTCTTTGGTTGCAATTTGAAGAGCAGCTGGCGAAGTCTTTAGTGAGAAACACCCTCGATTTCCCACGAAGAAAATATTTTGCAATGTTGGGGCGTCGTTACGCATTGATGGATTCCATGATTTCCACGGCCAAAATTTTATAATTTTTGAGTATCGGAAATTTTCAGAAAACAAGTTTTCCATGATTCGTCTATGATTTCCGAAATCAGAGAGTAAAACATTCAGAAAATGAAAACGGGAATGAAAGTGGTAAACTGAATTTCTCCCCGAAAAATTTCATGATGAACCAATAATTCGCGAAACCCACTATGTTTTTCCAGGAATCCCCTGATGCCGAAAAATTGCCTAATAGCGTCTTGCATACATTTCTGGTTTTTCAAGTGGGGGCCGTGCAGTCACGTTAGCTAGAAAGGGGTACACTGAAACCCTCCTGGCGAGGGCAAGGCAATTCTTTCAATACTAGGTATGCCTATAGACGGATTTAGTATGACTTCGTCATCCGATAGAATGTAGGACTCTTGGCTAAAACCAAAACAAATTACCAAAACCTCATGTACGAATTCTTCATGAGTTAATTGCGCTACTTTATTAAAATTTAGTCATTTACCAGTCATAAATCAGTTAAAGACTCATTAAACAAGAGAAAGGATGTGTCCCATTAAGGAGGGTGTTCATCCCAAACTTTGGTCGAAAATTGAAACAGCTTAGAACAATGGCATGTATGGTCAAACTTACTCTTAATCATCTACCCTGTGAGAACTTCCCTGGTAAAAATTGGCGATTAAAGCTGCGTTTCACAATACCATAGGAGTTCTTGTAGCTGACTGAAGAGGGCGATAGAAAATCATATAGCTGGCTGTAGAAAGTGGAAAAAATCGTACGGCCGGGCTACACGAAGCGATAAAAAATTATACAGCCGGGCTATAGTTCCTATCGCCGGGTTTTACACTTTATCGCCTGGCTGTTGCTTTTTCGCCATCGGCTATAAAAGGCTATAAGAAATTGAGCAGAAATTCTTGTGCTTTGTAAATCCTTAAGTTTGTACGGAATCACCGTACATTTACAAAACGCACATTATATTTTCCTTTACTACATATTTTTTTTCATCAATTAAAATGAGAATAATCCATACAGAGTGTGTGCAAACATTTCAAAATCATAAGTTGAAAAACGCTGACTCCGCGAGATTAAATATTAGAGCCTAACACAAAGCGGAGCGGCGGCGCACCGGCGCCTACAAACCTAACAGGGATACTTCACGCATTGCGCAATGCGTGGAGTATCCCTGTTAGGTTTGCAGGCGCCAATGCGCGTTCAGCGCTGGCTGCCCGCCCGCCGCGCGCCGCGCCGCAGCGTACCGCGGCGCTTGAAGCAACTATTTCACAACAGAGGTATTGTACAGTATCATATGAAATTTAAGGCGCTCCAACATATTAGGAATGTCAGGCATCCTTCAAAAGAACGGCTCTTTCCTTTCAAATTAGATCAAGATACTGCGACCCAAAAAGAGAGCGGTAGTCCGAAAACTCACTAAGTCCTAGCATCCGTAATTAGTAACGTTTAGCATACACTTTATCGCCAGGCTGTTGCTTAGTCGCCATCGGCTATGCAAGGCTATAAGAAATTGTGTTGCCGGCCATAGAAGCTATCGGAAATCTTACAGCCGGCTGTAGGTCTATGGTATTTTGGAACACAGATTCTACTGCCAATTTTTACCAGGGTTGTCCTTATTTGAGTTGTTTTTGAAAGGTTTTTGTCTGATTTACCAGCGTACAGTAGTGAAGTTTTGCAATTTTCTCGAATAATCGCTCATTTTCGGTCCTAAATTAGATGAGCGCAAGCGACTGCCACGTTCATATTCGAATATGTTAATCTTTAGTACGCCCATTACAACATATTTAAAGGAGAAAGTGGTAGTCGCTTGCGCTCATACATAAACAATCTAATTTAGGACCAAAAATGAGCAATTATTCGAGAAAACTGCAAAACTTCACTGCCTTGCGCTGGTAGATCAGGCAAAAACCTTTCAAAAACCTCAAATAAGGACAAGTTCTCGCAAGGTAGATGATTAAGAGTCAATTTTACCATACATGACATTATTCTAAGCTGTTTCAATTTTCGACCAAAGTTAGGGCCAAAATACNCGAATAATCGCTCATTTTCGGTCTTAAATTAGATTGTTTATGTATGAGCGCAAGCGACTGCCACGTTCATATTCGAATATGTTAATCTTTAGTACACCCATTACAACATATTTAAAGGAGAAAGTGGTAGTCGCTTGCGCTCATACATAAACAATCTAATTTAGGACCAAAAATGAGCAATTATTCGAGAAAACTGCAAAACTTCACTGCCTTGCGCTGGTAGATCAGGCAAAAACCTTTCAAAAACCTCAAATAAGGACAAGTTCTCGCAAGGTAGATGATTAAGAGTCAATTTTACCATACATGACATTATTCTAAGCTGTTTCAATTTTCGAACAAAGTTAGGGCCAAAATACCCTCCTTAATGGGACACATCCTTTCGATTGCAAAAAACACTTGGGCGCATTTTATCACCATGGCTCAAAGGGCGCGAATCAAAAACAAGGTTCAGTGATTGTTTACATTTGAACTAAAGGTTCGATATCATATCGAATGACGTAGCTACTACGTCAGTTATTCTTCTTGAAAACCTTGATGCATTACTGTGAAACGCCCTAGTTATGGAATCTGACAGAGTGATAGGAACCGCTTATCCTCCTGTTTCAGCTCATATACCCCGAGGCCCAACCCTAACGGGGGGTGTCCATCCTCCGGACGAGGAGTTACCAGCAGAGCCACCCGAGTGGGATGAGAAGAACGATCCGACTGACGCGGAAATCGCAAAAACGCTCGAGTATCACGGCAAGAGGATCTGGAAGAAGGGACCGTGCAAGAAGTACAAGGAAAACAGCAACAGCAGACCAAACAGACGGAGGAAGAAGGGCTGCATAAAAGCGGGCAATCACTTCAGAGAAAAAGCCGCAGAGATCCCGTCGGAAAATTGCCCTGACCCCGGGTGGGCACGCTGCTAATTCGAGAACATGAAGGGAAGGTGCTACATCCTCACCAACGTCCACGACCCAAAGAAAATCAAATGGGTGCTCCTCACGAAATGTTGAAGTGTTCTACAACAAATTGGACGTATTTCTGCCAAACGGAACTATGTGCATTAAGACATGAGTTCTGAGACCCATAAGAATATATCCATAACAGAGCACGTCATAATGCACTTAGTTCCGTTTGGCATAAATACGTCTAATTGACCTATTCGATTACGGGGAAAAGTATGATAATTGCAACTATATTCCCGGCTGAATTTGATGTCGGTCATAAGTGTGGTTTTCTCCGCGGTCAGAAATTTCGTTGAGTCGACGAAAAATGTGGTTGATCTGACTAGTTTATGACTGACTCAATGATGAGTTGTCCGAGATGGAATTGAATCATTGAAGGAATTGTCCCATGAGGAATCACTGAAGACACGGCTTTTCCAACGACGACTTCAAGAAAAAACCCGCTGGCAGCTCCTCATAAAATGTTGAATTATTTTACGAACAATTGACTTATTAGATTACGGAAAAAAGTATGATCATTTCAACTATATTCCCGGCTGATGTTGATGTCAGTCATAAATGTGGTTTGCTCCAGTCAGAAAACAGGTTATGTCCACGGAAAATGAAGTTGAATCGACTAATTTCTGGCTAACTCAAGGAGGAATTACTGAGTACACGTCTATTTCCACGACGACTTCAAGGAAAAACGCTGGCAGCTCCCCTAAAACATAGAAGTTTTTCACATAATATATGGACTTCCTTTAAATAGTGTTAAGCAGAAAGTAACCAAACTACATCAGCTATTGCCAAATTCAACTTCAAAATTTAATGTTTCATACAAAAACGGTTGTGCGGATTTTTGTGCAAATTTCAGTGCATTTTCTGCATGATACGCAACAAGTGCCTTAAAATTTTCTGAGTCAGCCGCCCAAACGTTCTCTTGTAAAAAATTAAATTGTCCATTTAAATTTGGCAATAGCTGATTTGGTTTGGTTCCTTCCTGCTTAATATGGTCCATTTAACAATGAGAAACTACCATTCCTGACCGGCGCGTAAAAGTAAAAATCAGAATACGGAGACTAATGACCAAAATATGGTTTTTAAAATAGGTCAGGAATGGTGATACCTCATCGTGAAGTGCAGTTCAAATACGAGATTGCTGATCCTAGACGGGATTCTCTTTTAGACGTTGTTCGCAGCTAACTGGTGATAAAATGTTCATGGGTGATCGGCACTAATTGGCTGCATGTTATTATTTAAGGGTGTTTTAATAAATGGTCTCATTTCAATACACATTCAATTTGTTAAAACAAATTCTATGAAGATGTGTACTTATCTGTAGAAAAATTTAATTAGACAACTTTATTTCTGCCAAAAACTATCGTTTTGGCCATTCAACGAGCAGTTCTCACTTTGCCAAAAATCTTGAGCAAAATACTACCTCAGACCTAGCATCAGCACTGTGTAATTTTAGTTGACTTCATCCGTTAAATTAATTTTTTATTTTTGAAAATTAGACATTGTCCGCCTTATACCGGGTGTCCGTAAAGTAACTGAAAAGTGGGTATAATTTTTGAACAAAAAAAGATAGAAGGTCGCGGTTTGTGGCATTCTTCATCATATAAAAGGGGAAATTTTTCGATGGGGGGCTTTTCCTGGTGGACCCCCCTGGGGGGGCCCCAGGGGGGGCAACTTCAAAAATTCAAATGGCAACCCCCATTTTTTTAGACATGGTTATAAAGAACTTAAAAAGACAAGAAAAATGGCGCAAATAAAATTAAAATCGGTTATTTCGTTCTAAAGTTACAGCCGGTCAAAGTTTTAAATTGATCACTTTTCAAAAAATCGCCGATGAGCTCCAAATTATCGGAAAAACAAAAACAAACCAGGAATGAAAAGTTTGAAAAGTGCTTTTTAGGAATAGGAAAAGCAACTGACGTTGTCACAAGTCTGGATGGCATTGTTTCAAAATAAAATTTCGGAAAATTCAACATGGCGGCAAATTTGAGGAAACGCAAAAAATGAAAATTCCAGAAACTGTTATCTTTCAAATACCCTCTAGTTTAAGGAAATCAAAGGTTTCAACTTTTATTCCTTTATTTGGCCAAGTAAGAGCAATAATTTGCTGACTTAAAAGTTGTCAAGCGGGGCGCCTTCGATCGTTGGAGTATGCGACATCACAGGATTAAGTGTGCTGTCGAAAAAATGAAGCCGATGTGAAAAAGCGCTCCTCCTTTGGGATGCTTTGGAAATTTTTAAGGTCCTTCTCCTCAAATTTAACGAGAAAAAAGAAGAAAAGTAAAATTTAGCAAATTTTACCCACAAACTTGGCGAGCCAAAAAAACATGATTTATCCTGATGGGGTAGGGGCGGTGGACATTTTTGACATTTCTCTCTCTGAAAATTAAAAATCCAAGAATAATTTTAATTTTCTAACTCCTGGCACTCCAATTTGGCAAGGAAGATATCTGCTACGCTTCCAATTCCGAAGACGCCGTTCTACTCTTGATTATTATCTGAATTGAGATTATCTTAATGACAGTCTCAACCTTACGATTTGAGACACCCATCTTTTCGGTAACATCTGATGCACTATATGATCGGTGACACGGTGAAGCGTAGCAGATATCCTCCTTGCCAAATTGGAGTGCCAGGAGTTAGAAAATTAAAATTATTCTTGGATTTTTAATTTTCAGAGAGAGAAATGTCAAAAATGTCCACCGCCCCTACCCCATCAGGATAAATCATGTTTTTTTGGCTCGCCAAGTTTGTGGGTAAAATTTGCTAAATTTTACTTTTCTTCTTTTTTCTCGTTAAATTTGAGGAGAAGGACCTTAAAAATTTCCAAAGCATCCCAAAGGAGGAGCGCTTTTTCACATCGGCTTCATTTTTTCGACAGCACACTTAATCCTGTGATGTCGCATACTCCAACGATCGAAGGCGCCCCGCTTGACAACTTTTAAGTCAGCAAATTATTGCTCTTACTTGGCCAAATAAAGGAATAAAAGTTGAAACCTTTGATTTCCTTAAACTAGAGGGTATTTGAAAGATAACAGTTTCTGGAATTTTCATTTTTTGCGTTTCCTCAAATTTGCCGCCATGTTGAATTTTCCGAAATTTTATTTTGAAACAATGCCATCCAGACTTGTGACAACGTCAGTTGCTTTTCCTATTCCTAAAAAGCACTTTTCAAACTTTTCATTCCTGGTTTGTTTTTGTTTTTCCGATAATTTGGAGCTCATCGGCGATTTTTTGAAAAGTGATCAATTTAAAACTTTGACCGGCTGTAACTTTAGAACGAAATGACCGATTTTAATTTTATTTGCGCCATTTTTCTTGTCTTTTTAAGTTCTTTATAACCATGTCTAAAAAAATGGGGGTTGCCATTTGAATTTTTGAAGTTGCCCCCCCTGGGGCCCCCCCAGGGGGGTCCACCAGGAAAAGCCCCCCATCGAAAAATTTCCCCTTTTATATGATGAAGAATGCCACAAACCGCGACCTTCTATCTTTTTTTGTTCAAAAATTATACCCACTTTTCAGTTACTTTATGGACACCCGGTATGTCTTTTGTATGTGCTGAAGTAGCAGGTCATGTATTTAAACATGGTGATGAATTGTCTATGGGTGATCCGGCTGCATGCTATTATTGAAGGATGTTTTAATAAATAGTCTCATTTCAATACACATTCAATTTGTCAAAACAAATTCTATAAAGATGTGTCAAACAATCTTTTCCGATTGTGAGAGGCCAGGTATTGGAATTTTGTCGGTGTGTATTAATCGCTGAATAAATATCTCTTAAAATGCTCTTTGATGGCAACAGTCGTGTGGGTCAAAAATAAATGTTAGTCTTACATTGCTCCAGCAATCGTGGAAACTTTTTGTTTTTGGGGATTCGTCATTTTCCATCTTTGTGTCAACACTGATGTTACTTCTTTATTGACTGTTAGGTTGTGTAATGGACGGCAAGACTCCCCAACAACTTCATCCAAATGTTGATTGTTTGCTCAACAACCAACATAAAAAGAGAGTAATTTCAAGTGTTAAGTGGTGGAGCTTAGACAGTAGAAATTTTCCGTTATGAAAATAGCACAATGACGCCTGTAAGGTGTTCATGAAATATCTCCGAAAACAATAAAATGTTTCGAGGGCGTTTCTTTGAAACGGAGGAAAATCTAGGACATCTAAAATAAGACTATTTAACTTTTAAGGAGTTAAGTTATGGTAAAATTTGTCCTTTTTTAGAGTGCTTTGAGGTACTTTTCAATACTATAGTTACTCATCAATTTAACGACACTTTCAAAACGTTAAAAGTTATAAAGTAGCGTTAAAGTTTAGATTATTTTTTTAATAATTACAATAATTTTTTTTATTGTAATTATTGTTAACGCATTTTTCCTTTCTTTCACGATTACTTGTTCCCCCATTTTGAAATGCTCTCAATTTTTGAAATTATTGGGAGCTCTTTGTGCCAAATTATGCAAAAGCGACTATTCCAGGTCATTTCTAGCTGTGTCATTTCTAAAGAAAACAACCGGTATTATTCCGATTATTAACTAGTATTATTTCGTCGCCTTCCGGCATAAGTGTCACAAACGCCACGCAACGTTAGAAAATTTCCTCTGCCTTTTCATTTCTTTGCAGAGAAATTGTTGGTTGAATCTGTTTAAAAATTTTACTGAATTTTATCGGCAGCACAAAGAATATTCAGTGAAATTTTCGGACAGCTTCGTTCAACAATTTTTATGTAAAAATAAAATGGTAGTGGAAATTTTTAAACTTCGCATATGGCACTTGTGATACTTTGGCTCGAAGGTGACGATTTTTACAACAAAAAAATACAAGCAGTTGATATTTCATCGATGCAAAATTATTTTGTCTGAATTAGTGAATGCATTCAATGTTGTTCATTGGTCTGCAGGAACAACAATTCTTGGATTTATGTATAACAGCGATGAATTGGGCGAGGTGATTGAATTTAC